GTAAATAAAAAAAGTATTTAACGACACGTCGACATTTGAAGCTGAACTTAGAATCACAAAACAAATGTGAACATCAACTTATTTTCGACGAATTCGCAATGTGGGACACTATGGGAAAATATTCCTAGTTAAAACTATCGCATTAAAAAAATCTAACAACATGAAGTAATTAGAAACAACATACTACATTTACATTATTTACAAGTAGTTTCATGCATTTTCACAATTTATATACAACATTTATAAAAGTATATGTTGATTTATACAAGTTCAATTTGCATATAACTTATACTAATATTATAAAGAGGAATGATTTGTATTTTAATTTTTGTACGAATTAATATAACCCAAAAACTTAAGAGATAGTTTGTCTGTGTGTAACATAGACTAAAACTTTTAACTATAAATTTTTAATTTCACGTGTCCGAAGTCACGAGCAATAGCTAGTAATTTTATAATTAGCAATGGTTTTGGTGCAGGTGGCGCTGCGGCCGCGGCGCTGCTGCCCGTCGGCGCCCTCTAGCGGCTTTATGTATCATATTATAGCGTTAATTATCTTGTACAATATTATATTAATTATTAAAGATTATAATTTTAATAAACCCGACTTTTATTAATGTAGTGTTGTTTCAAATAACCGTATGTACATATACGAAGTACGCAACAAAAATGTTTGCGTTCAAAAAACTTGTTAAAAAAACATTTTATGTATTAAAAGATTTTATGTTATTTTGAAATTAAAATGTGTATTTTTATTTCCTTAAAGATAAAGCAAAAATTAATTAAAAAATCGCTGCACTGATGCTAGTGATCGCAAATTTTTTGTTGTGTCATAAACAAGCCCAGATAACATGATGAGAATTCAAAGTAGTACTTTAATTACTTAAAATGCAATAAGACTTCACCATTAGCTAATCACGACAAGTTGAAGTAAAAGATTGTTTGTTCAAATCCGGGCAATAAAATGAATTGTCGCACACCGCGGGAATAACAATTAAGTCATTACTTTACTTATAAGTAAAATAAAATGTAAACCTCTACAACACAACTAGGTATAAATAACAAAAAAAAATTACAAAGTATTTATAACTATACTACTACTACTACTACTACTACTACTACTACTACTACTACTACTACTACTACTGCTACTACTACTACTACTACTACTAACCTAATGAAGCGTAAACACACACTATTTCGTGACGTAGAACAATTAATAGCATAATTTTTACTAATTCTTCCTTTAATAAATCTTGTAGATGTACTTGAGATTTTAACTCTTTTTAGAAAGTAAATAAGATCATTGGCTCTCACCTACGATTTGAGAAAACGCAAGCAGAGTTTGTGCAAAACTTTTTTTGAACTATTCGTGAAAGTTCGGTCATTTTTAATGTCTGTCACAGGCTGAGTCAAAGGGAAAATCCGAACATAGGTACTTATTTTAAAGGTCTGAAGTGAGGCTGTGACCTCTAAAAACAGGGGAAAGCCCAGCGTCATTTATCCTTAGATACTCAATTGAGTTGCAGAAATTTTGCATTTCAATCTATTCTGTCTATATTTCCAACAAAATAACTGGCCCACACTTAATATTTTATAAAGAAGGCGAACAGTGAAAGGCAACAAAATTCGTAGTAATTTTTTTGCATCCTCAATAAAACTTTTGGTTCTTGATAATTGCAATAACAAGGATATTTAGTGAGGCCGTGTTGCGGTTAGTGATAATGTATAAAGGTTAATGCGCATTTGTCAACTCCATTCGCCGACAACCCGACCACCGCGACTTTCACGGTCTCATCGGCAACCCGTGCAAGCAAATTGATATAACACTATCTTAATATTAATATTTTTATATGTATGGCAATAAATTCTTAATAATGAAGTGACTTTCCGAATGTGAATTTTACCGTTATTTTCATACACCTATGACTTTTCGGTCAGCGAAGATCGCTAATCGATGCTACATTGTCTGGGAGGGCGACCCCCCGCCCCGGTAAGACATATATATATGACAAGACAGTGACAAGTGTGCGTTAACCATTAATTTTGCAGCTGTTAAGTTTTTAGACGTCAATCACATAAATACTTTATACTTAATGATCATGATGTCAATAAAACTTATTGCCCTTCGTAAACTTCGTAAAAATTTATGTCTTAAAGCAGTTTACGTTCATTTTTTAGCTGTAATAGGACATTTATTACGTTACTTTATGAATATCATTTTCCCTTGAAATGTACGGCAAGTTTGAAATCGCTGATTGTAAGATTTGGCCACCACATCAAGATACGACCTCGTCGGGTCGGGCCGGGCGCCGGGCGCAGGGCGACGGGCGGGCGCTAGGCGCCGGGCGGCAGTGCACAGTGACTTGCCGCAAGGGATGAAGCGCGGACCACTACATAAGTGTAAGTTTTGTTTAACATAAATTTAAGTTCGAAAAATATTATCAAATTCAATAGTTAAGTTATATTTTAACAACGTGCCAAAAGCGAGGATAATTGATTTAGAAGTGGGGTAAGTATTATCATATTTTTTTAATAATAAGTAGAAATTTGGAATAAAATTTTTATGTAACTTTTTTTAATTGTTTTTATTTTTTTATTAAAAAAGTTAAAATACATT